CTGAACTTGTATGATTTAAAGCACAATTAAAGCTCATACTCGTAAAGGAGAACTTTCGACATGACTTCTATTGACACCGAGATTAGGCCGAGAAGAACTTTTTATCCTTTTCAAGCCAAAGCAGCTAAGAGAGCGTCTTGCGTTATCTGTTTCGACGACGATATTCATTATGATCTCATGTTTTACGTTGGTAGATGCGGTCATTGGTTTTGCTTAAACTGTGTGAAACAACACATAGAAGTGAAGCTTCTTGATGGAAAGATACCGGATTGTCTTGAGCGTCGTTGGTGCAAGTTTCAGCTATCTATTGATAGTTGTGTCAAGCTTTTGACTCCAAAACTGAGTTTGATGTGGGAACAAAGAATCAAAGAGGACTCAACTCCTTTAAATGAGAGAATTTACTGTCCGTACCAAAGTTGCTCTTACTTGATGTCCAAATCCGAGCTTTTGGCGTCGTTTTCTATATGTTTGGATGTAGGAGATGCTTCCAATGCGGTGGCACCTTCTGCATCTACTGCAAAGTTCCATGGCATCATACGCTATCGTGCACCGAGTACAAGAAGTTGCATCCTAATCCTCAAAATAATGATGATTTGCTAAAAGCTCTGGCAGAGATCTTGAAGGGTGGCGTCAATGCGGCAAGTGCCAAAACATGGTTGAACTTTCTAACGGATGCAACCACATAACTTGCAGGTATCTTTCTCTTTCTTTCTATCGCGTAACTTAATCTTCTATCTGTCTGAAAAAAATATTATAGACATAAAGAGCTGTTGTCATTTCTCGAACTTCACTATGTTTTTGTGTAAATATTTAGGTGTGGATATGCTTTTTGCTACACGTGTGGAAAAGAATGGAACTACTGGTCTCACGGAAGATGCACCACTTTCTTCCAGGTGCTTGCTTTCTTTGTAGTAGTATTTGTTATCATTTTATGCGTAATTCTATATAAGATGTAACTAAAATATATAGCACTCTTAAGACAAAATTATACCATGTTTATTCTATAGCTCATTTGCTTTTCTCATAGATATTGGTTGGCAACAAATGTTATACTTTCGAATGTTTAATGCATGCCGATTTTGTCATAGTGGTGGCACTCAATATCTATGACACATATATATGAACCCTAACCGAACATACTATCTGATTATTATATACTTATAGTTATAGGCATCTCCGTACTCTCTGATCTTTACTTGCCTTTAAACTTTGAATTCTAGCATGTTAATCGAATAAAAAGAAAGCATTATCCCAACCTTCTTTGCCAAAAGTCATTATATATTTAATAAAAGAGAAATTTGCAGAAAAGTCATAGAAAACTACAAAAATGTCATATATTCGAAACTGTGTGCAAATATGTCACAATTGACTTGTCAAAAGACTTTTATACCCATAAAACATATTTTCCTCTTTCCACTCCCTAAAATTTCAGTGGAATAGATGGCTGGAAGAACGTCAGGCTCTGTCTTAAGTGGAGTTTTAGGTTGCCAATGGCGGTAATGCTGAGAGGGCAAGATTAGCCTGCTTTGTTCAATGCCTATTCTATAATCGGACGAGCATCATAACCACATGGAACCGGACAGTTGTTGATGTCCCACCACACTGTCACTTTAGCATCCTCCTTGTGCATTGGCATGTTGTCGATGCTCAATCCGTCCTCCTCTTCTCCAATGCTCTTCTTCTTCAATGTTTTAGCATCAGAATCCTTGATGTGTTTTTGCATGCCGATCTCCTGCTTGACAAACCAAATGCACACATCCAGTTGAAAAACGATAACAAAAGATAATATATATTTAGATGGAGGCAAGGACGCTTACGGTGAGGGCATGGTCTCTACTCTTGAGATGCGTGGTGAAATCTTCAAAGTTTAGGCCAGAAGAGCGTATATGGCTATAACGTTCGCATGGTGTGCAAAGCCGGCCAGTTTCCTGGCGCTCGGAAGGAAAAGATGCACTTTTTGGAGGAGAATTGAGCAAGCTTTCCTAGTCAGTCCCAAACCTGGATATGTTTTATAGGATATGAACGGAGGTAGGTTTTAGAGGATATGCTCGAAGAATGGTGTATCCAGCATCTTGTAGCCGGCAAAGCCTAAAGGCCAAGTCTTCCACACCACCGGATATGAACATTAAAACAGCCGGAGGTGGATTCTTCCGTTTCCAATCCAACATATCCTCGAATATGATTGAGAGACAATCCATATCAAACCCTAATAA